TTTTTCTAAAAAAAACTCATCAAAAGTTTGGCTCTTATCTAACTTTTGTTGTAGTAATTGAAAAATTTTTTAAAAAATTACTAATCTAAATTTTTATAGTGCTACTTACTATAAAAATTTCAAAGCTATATCTTTTAAATTTAAAAAGTTAGAAAGGGTAAAATACTTATGACTCCAACTATAAATGTATTGTAATTACAAAATTCAAAAAAAATTTGAATAAGACAATTCTTCAAAACAATGTCTTATATTTATAGAATATTCTACTTAATTTAAATCTTACAAAAGTTACTGAATATAATAAACATAATTAAACAACAAAAATATAATTATTGTAAGACTGTGCTGATTTAGTTAACCAATTAAAGGTTATCTATTAAAATATAAAAAAACTTCTAAAAAATATATAAGATTTATTAAATATACAAAAAACAAAATTTTGGTTCTTTAAATAATTTATTTAAAAAAATTTAATATATAGCTATTAATAGCAATATTGCAAATCTTGAACTTTCAAACCAACAAATGGGAACCTTTATAGCAAAAGGTAGCAATAAGCTAAAAAAATTTTTTTTCTTAAAATTGCAATTTCTTGAAGAATTAGAATAACTAGTATATAATTTTTACAAAATTACAAAATAAAAATTTTGGCTTATTGCTACCTTTTGCTATAAAGATACTTAAATATAAAACTAATATAGAATAAAAGATTTTATTTAATACTTCACTATGATTAGTTTATAAAATAAATCAATTATTTTATAGTATTTTTAAATGATAAAATAATTTAACTATTTCATAAATCTGAGGCATATCTGAAATGTGTGTCAGGTTTGTGGCGCATGTCGATCAAGCCACAGCACTGTCACACAAAATGTAGCCAATAAAAAATCGTAGTTTTAAACATTTATTAATGAAGATCTATCATATTTGAAAATTTTTTAAAACTTCTAGCAAAGGTTTCTCAATAACTACACAATTAAATTTAGTAAATTTTTTTTTATTTAATTCTATACTTTCATAAAAGTAAAATAAAAAAAAGTTTATTAAATTTGCTTTGGTAGTTATCAAGAAACCTTTACTAGAAGTTTAAAAAAAACTTAAAGTATTGAAAAAACTAAAATCAGGTAAGTTTTTTTATTTTTTACCTTTAAATAATAATTTCTTGATAACTGTATATTCAAACTTTATGAATTTTTTTTTATTTTAATTCTATGAATTTGTAGAATTAAAATAAAAAAAAAGTTTATTGATCTTGGATTGGTAGCTGTTAAGAAATATTGATCAAAAATTTAAAAAAAAATTAGCTGCAGCTTTTTCTTTACAGACAGCTAAATTTTGAATGAAGACTACTTGGCACTTACCTGTCTAAATTCGATCAAAATTTTTTATTTTAATTCTATAATCTCATAGAATTAAAAGAAGAAAAGATTGACCAAATTTAATCATGCAAATGCCAAGTAGTCTTTGTTCAAAATTTAGCTGCCTGTAAAGAAGAAGCTGCGGCTAATTTTTTTTTAATTTTTAATCAATGTTTTTCAACAGCTACCAATCCAAGCTCAATAACCTTTTTTTTATTTTAATTCTACAATCTTATAGAGTTAAAAGAAAAAAAAATTGACCGAATTCATCATGTAAATACCAAGTAGTCTTCGTGCCACCTATAAAAAATTAGCTGCAGCTTTTTTTTTACAGGTAGTTAAACTTTGAACGAAGATTACTTGGCACTTACCTATCTAAATTCGATAAAAATTTTTTTATTTTAATTCTATATTCTCATAGAATTAAAAGAAGAAAGAATTGACCAAATTCAATCATGTAAATACCAAGTAGTTTTTGTTCAAAATTTAGCCACCTGTAAAGAAGCTGCAGCTAATTTTTTTTTAACTTTTAATCAATGTTTTTCAACAGCTACCAATCTGAATAGATAATTATTGAGAAATTATTATAGAATAAAAAAAGATCTAATAATATACAAAGTTATATTTGAATAAAGGTTAAGTTTTTTGGTATAGCCATCAAGCTTTTTCTTTTCATAAAGTTAATTTGCAACTATGATACCAATTGATAATACAATATTATTGAGCACAAATATTTTTAAGTACTAATATTATTAAGCACAAAGATTATTAAGTACTATCAACACAGATAGTTTTATTTAGTCTAAAAAACACAGCTTATATGTTTCAACAATTTAAAATAAAATTATATACAACAAAAAGATATAAATTTTTCTAAAGCATTACAGACTTTTTATACGACTTAAAATAGACCAACTCATTGCATGTAATCTATTCAATTATATGTATTCTTTTTGTATTGAAGTTACTTAATATGTATGCTCTTCTTTAATGGTTATATTTATGTTCGTATCTAATGATAAATTGCTGAATAAATATTATTAGAAATGTTTAAATGTTAAATAAAATAAATATGTAAATATATATGAATATAGCCATCCTACTGTCATGTTACGTCTAATCAGATATATGTACAAAGGTTTAAATATATAAGTCGTATTCTTTACTAGAAAATTAATTATATGAATATAATTATAATTACTTTCAATTTGTCAAGTTTTTTTTATAGTTTGACTCAAATTGTGTCTGTTTCCATTAGTTTTTTTTTTTTTTTGACTAGGAATGATTTTTGGATCCAAATTTTCTTTATTTTTAATAGTAGGTACTCTTCGTTTGCAACTAGATCCTCCTAATTTGCGACATTTTATAGATTCGACTTGAACACAAATTATAGAACCACTTTTAATATTAATAGTTGGATCTAACTAATAGTTAAGATTATAAAGAAAAGATGCTAATCGGGAGGTAGACTTTAATTTTGCTGCCTTATAACGTTCTGCAAATTTGTTTAATGCAGTTTGCAATTTTAGATCACCATTTTCGTAATCATTTTTGATGTTTTCTAAAAAAAAAAAGAACTCTGTATTGTCATTCTCTGAAATATCAACATCAATATTTTCATTTGGTTCTCTATACAAAGGTTAGAATTATTATAAAATATATTATAATATGGCAAATTACAATAAAAGCTTTACAAACCTATACAATACAACTTCATTCTTATTTGATATTTTTGCTTTTTGTTGTATATATACATTATTTTTGGAAGTAAAATTCGCATCTAATGATGCATAAAAAGTGCTATCTTGTGCCGTATATTCTAACAATAAAAAAATAAAAAACTACAAAAAAATAAAAATAATAAAAATAATAAAATCAAATTTATAATTTTAAATTAGCTTACCAAGTGCAATATAAGCATAAAGCATTCGGTCATTTGAAGTCAAAGATGGTAAAAAGTTAAACATTGAAATATGAAATTTAATCAAAACTGCACCCTGGTGCTTGCAGGGTGTACCTGTCATTCCAATTTGGCAAGTACAAGTTCCAAATTTGCTGTTAACAGTATAATATGTATCAGGATTTTTTATACTTGGTACAAAGAATTTATTTTCAACATTAGATTTTTGAATAGCATTTATATTAACAGTATCCCAGCCGGAACAAAAAAATCACTTAGCAATTTGTGATTGCTCCGAATACTTATATGCAAAATTAAGTAACCAACATGTATAATATTTTTCCATCTTTGATGTAATAAATTGAAAAACTTGCACACAATTATATGCTTGAACTCTAGCAAAGACTATATCTTTTAATATGCCAAAGCTATGTTCAACATAGTTGTTGGTATTGTTGCCACATATATATAGGTTTGAACGAAAAAAAAGAGCCCAAAAACAATGACAGTTCTATAAGCACTCAAAATATTGTTGCAATTGGGGATAAAGTTGATAGAATTTTTGATTAAAGTTATGATAATTTGTATTCATCTCAGAACTTGATGATGCATATAAGATTTTTTTATTTTATTCATTATAGGAGCCCGGTCTTCTTTACTAATACTATGCTTAAAATTTTGAAGCCATCTCCAAATTGCTTGAAGAACGTGAAATGTACACAGGAGACATATTCCTTACAATTAATAGTTAATAATATTAAATAAAATAAATTAAAATAAAAAAAATATTAATTAACAGAACTTACCATCTGGCCAACATAACTTTAAAGCATTATGTTCTGCACTTGAGTCGTCAGTTATAAAAACTTTTAGACCGACTTCTGGTCCACATTCTAAAAAAGCATAGGAAGGAAGTATAGTTTTTAATAAATTAATAGCTTTTACTAATGTAGTCTCCTGTTCATCAAAGATAATAAACAATCCGAGTGGAAGTGCTCCAATTGTACAGCTAGTATAAAATAAAGTGATTGAAGTGTTGAGAGGTTCGAAAGAAGATGATGCATCGACATAACACACTTTACCTGCTTGCAAAATTTTTTCATGTACTCTATACATAAGACTGGTAACAATACAAAGAATATATAAATATCCTTGACTTGTATCATACTTTTGTAAAATTGCTTTTCCATAATCAAAACTATTATATTCATCTACAACATGTACTAAATGCTCAAACATTAAACTACCATTACGATCTCCAAATGTGTTTGGCGAAAATACTGAAAAAGTTTAGCAACATAATTGTAATCCAGGTTACTTGCCCGATCTGCAAGTAAAAATAATAATTCATCTTCATTTTTTGCATTAAGATAAATTTCATCCTCATGAGTATATATCGCAGATGCAGGTGAATAACCATCCTTAAAGAGATCTATAAATCTTTTACGAACTTTTTCATTAACTTTCCAAAAGCTTAATGCTTCTACTGATTTGACTACATGATTATATAAGAATTTTATATTTATTTCTAATGCATAACTAAACTTATTAATATGCCAATTTTCCAATCGAAGGTGAATAGTTGCTAGGCAATTTGTATTCCGTACACAAGATGAATTTGCTCGTTTTGTTTTCTGATTTCCTTGTTTTTTTTTTACTAAATCACTATGCACACAATGCCGTAATTCTCGAAAAATTA